TTAATGTACAAATGCGCTTTACACAATTGATGTATGTATGGATTGTGATAAGAGTTGTATGAGCCCCTAATAAAACGATTAAAAAAAACTAAATAGAAAAATGTATCAATCAAAAAAAAAAGAATTGTAATATTTCCTTATATATTTTGGATACTATACCATTATCAAGTATGTGGTTTGCAAATACCTTCTCCTATTGGTTCAATTAACTTTTCACTTTCTGAGAATATCCTTCAAATAAACATTTTCTGCTTAATCACAAAAAAAACCCTACACATTGATACTAGTATATATACACCATCCAATGAAAATAAATGACAGTGTCTTAAATCATACCTTCTGCTAAGGTAGAGTCTGAATGCCTCCAAGGAAACAAAGTGTACGGCTTGGTTCACACCATCTACTAAAGCCAAGTCTTCATCCTACCCTTATCCTGTTCGTTAGCATCATAGCAGCTCTCTCCAAAATAAGATTAGAGCCACTGGTTTAGAGGCCATAATTATATCATATAGGAAATTATGGCTAAAAGGACAATATACATTGACTACAACTCAACACTCTCGAGCAAGAAAAGACAGAAAATGTATATAAATCAAATTAAATAACTCAAATATCTTCGTAGTAAGGTTATCAATTGCATATAAACAAGTATGCTAGAAATGTTATAATTTATACACAAACTTTGACCTGTACATAAAGATTAAGATTCATTTCTGGTCAAATTAAAAATCAAGAAACCATATATATATTCTTTTAAAAGCTTAGGATAGAAAATAATTTAGTACTCGGAGATGTTTGGTTTAATTAGTTTTGAAATATGACCCTAGGTGGACTTGTCTTTCTCTCCAGTAATACTAGATGAATAAGTGATATGATAAAAATTGCTCCTATTTAGAAAGGTAATCTTTCAACATCTATATGCTAAATGAGCTTTTACTTTTTTCATGGATTATCATTTACCCACACAGTTCTCCCTCTTTGCTAAGGTTGGGAAGATCCATTTCTATTTTCCAATCAGCTTCTCTAGCCTTCTTCCCACGCAAGCCCACACATGGGAGAAAACAGAGCACGTACTGTTCTTTGAGGGTTTATTACACATTAACATCCCTCTTATAAGTGATAGAGTTTGAATAAGTATATAATCTATAAAATAAACCTAACATAAATTTTATAAGTCAAGATTTATGTAAGTAAGAGTTACAAGTCAAAACTCTTGAATTTAAATTGTTTGATTACCAGTAGAGTTTTTGGTGTATCAGCCTGTCTTGGAGAACATTTATCTCAGTGAATTCATAGAAAGTAACAGGACAAAATGCTATGTTGGATTACATCCTGATTACTAAGTCACCACAGTGTAACAACTTGGGAGAGAGGAAATTCCCAAAAGGAAACTCACCCACTCAACTTGCAAATCTTAAAACAGTAATGTAGGCGATGATAACAAGAGACAGCTGTATGTTTTACAATTCAGAAGGGAATCATGATGCAGATTCAGGAGAAAAACTGTCCTATAAATATGACTCATGTCAGACCTAAAATTGAAATCCAATACATGCAATCCAAATGATCAAGAAAAGAAGAGTGAAAACGTTATAGTGGGGCTATGTGAAGACGTCTCATGCCTACAGATAGTAATTTAATGTGATAGAAAGGTTTTCAATTTCTTCCCATAGACAAGTCAGCCCCACAAGTGCTGCACTCATTTGTGGACATGTCTATTGGTGTTATGCCCGTTCTTCAGGTCGTGTGTTTGGGCATTGCTCCCAGTACAGTTTGGACTTCCACCTTCAATACCATCACTACGTGATCATGTCCTTGATCCTTATGAAATGGTTGAGCATCAACCAGTTGTTTTTGGTAGAGTGACGTTGGTCTTCCCACCTTCTTTTGATGCTTACCGTAGCATTCAGTATTTACCCTTTGACTTCTTTGATATCTTCCTTTTATATTTTATACCTCCAAGTATTTGCATATTTCATTATAATACTTGCTCTTCTTGAACTTCCCTCTGAAATATTCTGTTCAGCTTTTTATTTCATCACTTAATCTTTTTGCTTCAGCTATTCTACATGTGAGAACAAGTTTCAGAATCTCTTCTGATATCTCGACGTCCATGTAAACCTTTGCTTTCCCTCCAGCCTTTTAAATGAGTTTTGCTTTGCGGATCTGTGATGCCGTTGATGACATCCCACCACTAATCGGGTCTTGATCCATTAGTATTCCATGCACCAAGTCTATTTTTC